AGAAGGGCTGGGGGATGCACAGGTTGGTCTGCATATACTGGTGGAAGTCCTCCTCATCTTTTTAAAGGAAAACTGTTCTTTTTGCCTGAAATATTTTCCTTCAAAGCAGTGGCTTTTCTATGAGAATGGACCATTTTGTTTTTAAATACATTGACTGCCCATGTTCCTCTTGTTACAGTCCTGGGCAACAAAACTAAGATAGGCTACGAACATGAGACCAGGACAAGGTCAGAGGCCACTCACTCCGAGAAGGACCCACTCGTTGCCCACTGGCTACCCAGGAGGCACGGGGAGCAAGTGGAGGCACTCGGGGAGGGAATTACCTGGGAGGGACAACCAGAGCATGTAGCTGGAGCGGAGGGAGAGGGAAAAGGAGGCCAGGAGCCATGAGTTAGGCTGTGGTCCTTTAATGAGAAGGAACATTTATTTTGCCAATGTTCTCATTCGTCTCTTTTCCCTAAATCAAATTGAATGCTGGAGGAGCACGTCAGGGTGGATGTGGGGTGCCTGTCCTGTGTAGCTGCTGGCTTACCCCGAAACAGCAGAGCCCCAGCAGGCCAGCAGCGAGCCTGGCAGGCACCAGGTGGAAGCGCTCAGCCCCTCTGCCCCTCTTCTCCAGCCTGCCATCCATGGGAATTTCAGAAGCCTCTGGATTCCAGGCCTGCGTACACTTCCCGCTGGCCTTTCCGGATGGGCTGTGGGAACAGCAGGGATGTTAGTTCGGGAATCCTTATTAAAGCACTCTCAAACAGCACCAGGGTCTTGGTCCACACAACACGTGGAGAAACCCAGGACAGAGAGGGCGGGTGCAGCGCCGCGCTGGTAGTGTGCACGAGAAGCTGCGGTTCTGCTCCCCGCTCCCTGTGCCAGCACCAGGAGAAGGGGCTCCACCCTCACCACCTTTTTGCCCTGCTCCTAGGAAAGCTTGGAGGTTGACTGGATGCTTCTTGATAGGAGCGAAAGGGGTGACTGCTACAGATTCCCAGCTCTGGCTATCCCTCCCCAGCCAGCAAAGAGATGGGAGAAGGGGCAGGTTCTCCATACCTCGTAGTCCGGGTTTGGAACCGGGGGAGGACGCTGCATCTTCTGACCTGCAACAGAGAGGTAAACGTTGGTGATGAGTTATTCAGCA